TCAATTAACTTACGCTGCAGGCAACTAATTTGTTTCTGTAATATGACATCATATAGATTTCGTAGTAGCCGATGTTAGTATTTTATATATACTTAGAAAGCAATGATAAAAAATCATTAGAAAATAATTAACATGAAGCGGAATGTTATCCTAGATAGGGTGATAACGTTAATCTTTCTGGCGGATTCTGACAGGCGCATCACATTTTTTATGCGTGATCTTCAATAACGCACGGATGCAATTTGTCGGACGCAAAAGCGCATAGAGAAAGTAATAGTGAAAGGTAAGTCGGCGTGGGCGATAACTGCAGGTGTGTAGAGAGAATAATAAGCAAGTCAGAGCTGGGGTGCATCGACTTACCCTATCCTAATTTTTTTTTTAATCAGCGATTCCCTTTGTCGGTCTCTCTTGATCCCATTCTCACATTTAGGTTCAATTTCTTCGATGAAACGCAAATACAATACTTGTTTATATTCTATACAGAGAGTATTTCCTCTCAGAATTTACCCTGAAAATCATGGAAATTTTATATAAGTTTCTCTGATTAATATTTATAACAATAAAAAATATTAATATATGTACATGGTAAAATTAATCGAACATATTTTATATCTCATTATTGTGGTAGATATTAAAATTTTTTAATAATATTTTGTGGTAAATATTAATCAGAAAAACTCTTACACAATTCTTCTAATACCATATATTGTCCCACGATTACCATGATTTTCAGCGTAACATCTAAGAGAAAAGTCACTCTATGAAGAAACAAACATTTTTAAGAAAAATACTACTTGAAAAAAAATAAAATTGGAATTAATACGAATTTAAAAAAGAAAAAAATAACGGATAAAGAAATCGAGATAAAAGATCGCGCGCGAATTTGCATTTTCAGTTGTCCGATGACGTATTTCTCGACAAGTATAATTTCAATAATCGCACGCGATACAGCCGCGATATTAATTATTAATATACCGCGTAGGTAGTTATTTATATCCGCGACTTGTTTCCCCGGTGACGTCCTTTTCTCACGCACGCGGCGCGTACGCGCGCGTAATTTACACCGCGTGTCCTTTCGATAATTCCGCCACTTCCTTCAAGCGAGATTGTAAACAAACAAGTTCCCAGTTGCAACACGTGTTGCAATTTGCGGTTGATAATTATGAACTGCGTCGCGTGCATTTATCTCGACGTGCAAACTTCGCCTTTAATTTCGCAGATTTAAATAGCCGTTTAAAGGCCGTTTAAATTTTAAAAAGAGAAATTCGCGATTTATAGAGGTAGTCGATGGACACCATGATTTACAATCGATGTCAGCTTTTCGATATATTTATTATTATTATTATCATCGATTTCTTTTCCCTCGCGGACGCGATGATAGATTGCGCACGAATCGAGATTTCATTAGCAAAGCGAGCGTAAATGGAGATTCGAGTCTTTATCACTTAGCGCAGTAATAACTGCGATGCACACTCTGTATTTTCTATTCGTGTAATATTGCATCCAGGATGATTTATAGACACACGACCGTGTCGGATTACGATCGCGGCCGTAATGCGGATCGGTGTAACATTACACGAAGAAGCGAAGGTGAACTTTCGCACGGTTACGCCCATAAATTGGTGCAAACGGCGATCGGATAGTACCGACTCGGACTTTTATGGAATGCGCGATTTACACCGAAATCCGTTTTACGACGTGTAAACCTGTGCCGAAAGTTTCACCTATAAATTCGAGACCAGCCCGAACTGTAAATATATTTTTTTAGACTTTTAATTTTTGTCAAATTTTTACGCGATAATTCCGATCTCAAAATCAGAGATCTCATCGAGATTTTTCGATATAATTTTAAATAACAGTGTTCTGAAAAATATAAAATGCTACCTTTTGTATTTCATTCATTTTTAAGTCTACACGGAGAGAATTTTCTCTTAGAATTTACCTTGAAGAATTTTATACTAATATCTACCGCAATAAGATATAAAATATTCGATTAATTTTACTATGTATATATTAATATTTTACATTGTGCGTATTTAAATATTAATTAGAGAAACTTATAAAAAATTCTTCCAATACCACATTGTCCCACGATTTTCAGGGTAAATTCTAAGAGAAAATTCTCTCCGTGTAGACTTAAGTTTCTCTATATAATTAATATTTAAATACACACAATGAAAAATATTAATATGTACATAGTAAAATTAATCGAATATATTTTATATCATATTGTGATAGATATTAATATAAAATTCTTCAGGATAAATTCTAAGAGAAAATTCTCTCATCTGTGTACGGAAGATTTGTAAAATTTGCGAAATCTTGGAGTCAGAACTTTTGTTTCTCGATTTCTCCTGCAATTGCTTCTCGGCTTCTTACGATGAGCGTCTGAAGCGAATAAATTGACATGATCGCCAACTTTTCTTAAGAGCTCTCGAATGTCGATGGCTGGTGGTTCCCGGCGCAAATGCTTGGTCCCTGACCGACGGCATTCCTTAGCCGGACGTCGCTCGTAATATACATTTGCATTAATAGCCGCAATGCAAACACACTCTGCGCAATGCTCTCCGTAGTGTTTCGCGATCGCTTCGAAAGTATAAAACTATGTATATCGTGAGAATTATTGAAAGAGAACGTTTCGTCATTGAGAAATTATTTCAGCACTTGTCGTGGCACATGATACGTTACACGACATAGTTACATGATCTTTAATAATATACATGCAAAACGATTGAATTGAAAGGTACTCGTATATCCGCGGGCAATTGTTTGATTAAAACATTCGTCATAGTGATTCGAAAGGGATTGTTTGCATGATTGAAAAATATAGTGACACATAATTGTTACGCTAATTAAGCTCTAGTGTAATTTAATGTTTTATCTGATAATTCAATCATCCGCATGTCTATATCGGACATTCTGGACACCTAATCATTTATGTCTTGTCTATTTGAAATATAATATAAAATATAATTTAATTAACAGAGACAGCAAACAGCTCTTTTATACGGAAACGTCAATTATGTATATTTATAAATAATATTTCTTCCTCGATATTTTTTTTGTGCACAAATATTTTCCTGCAAGCTCAAAATAGCGACGATTTAACGCGGTGGGCTGATAAAGTAAAATACACCCGTATTCAACGTATCACAGAGACATATCAGAATATATGCAGGCTTGAACGTCTGGATAAAGGATGAACTCGAGACTCTGAATGATCTCGTGAGAATCAGAGAGCTGAAGCGGGGATTGTGCGGATTACTTTTCAGAAAGCTCGATCCCATTACTATAACGTTCGTCGTCATATCATAACGTTCTATACACGATGCAACTTGTCTGAAAATTACAATGGGAAAGCTTGGAATTTCCTATGCAAAATTCCGCCAATTTTTTAACCCATTATTTCAACCACGTTGTCTTTATGTCGCCAATTTTGTTCTGAGCTTTATCGATTCTTATTTAACATTTTAATTGAAAATCTTTCCATTTCATGCAACAACCTCGTTGCAAACTCGTGTAAATTTTGCTGATTATTTGGCCTTTCTTCGCACTAAATTCAATCGATACTTCGAAAAGTGCTTGTAATATAATTAATTTATTGCATTAAAACTTATCTCGTTGAGAATCGGTTTGAAATCTTTAATTACGCTCATCCTTACCGAACGACCATCACAAATAAGCCCGAAGCTCGTTGGATCATCGTGATGTCACCGCGACAATTGTCATTTTCGCTCGCGCGAACGACTGACCTTACTTCGCGATCAGCGGCGATTTGAACGCACATTGATCCGCGCGAAACATCATCAGCCGGCAATCGTGACTTGACCTGTTCAATATAACGACGACGACGGGCGGCGATTCGATTTGCCTCGCTGCATTTCTGCAGCGCTTGATGCGCTCTTTCGCGATTTCTTGCGACAGAGTTCCCCGGGTGTAACGTCATTCGGTCTCACTAGAGTGAACTCTATCTGCCTGCCATGATGATGCCCCGATGGGATTCGCGATTGCATTCGTCGCGGGACGTACGTTCGACAGATCGAAAGTGCGTCCTCCGATGTGTGTGAAACGAATTGTCCGGGGACTCCGCTGGTCTCGTTGAATTATTCTTGACGCGACTTGCCGCCAGGAACCAGACGTCTCTTCCTTTTGATCGTACGAAACCGCAAATAAAACAAAGCGATACTGTCGTTTTATAGGGGAAATAAGAAAAAACAGAGGAAATAAAAATTTTAAAGAATAGGAAAATGTATTATTCGACTGCGTGAAGATGAATGAATTGTATATGTACGAATCAGTTGATACACAAAAAGAATTTTCTCTTAGAATTTATCCTGAAAATGGTAATCATGGGATAATATGGTAAAGAATTTTGTAAGAGTTTCTCTGATTAATATTTACCACAATAAAAAATATTAATTATTAATTAATATCTATCACAAGATATAAAATATGTTCGATTGCTTTTACTATACATACATTAATTTATATAAAATTTATTATGTATTTATTACCATGATTTTCAGAATAAATTTTAAGAGAAAATTCTTCGTGCAATTTCATAAGGAAATATATTAATAAAACTTCAAGTGATATTCGTGCATCATTTTTCGTCAGAGATTATATTCTAAAAATTTCTTAAAGTTGCTTAATGCAATTTTTTGACAGATACTATAAAATCTTTATCAGAATTTTATTTATATTATACGCGCGTGCACATTGAAAATAATCAAGATACAAAACAATTTCAAGATCAAGTGTCGAAGTTTTCATTAGACGAAGGCACTTAAAATCATTAATTGTGAAAAATCAAAAACACAGAGGTTTCTAGGGACTCTTCCACGACGAGAAATGTCAAAGAGAGGCTCCTTTTATGAGACGAGCCATTTAATTAATCTTTACTGATGAAACGCGCGAAATTTGTTTGTTTTAACGTAACGAGCAGTTTTACAAAATAAAGAGAAACTTTCATTAAGAATCTTCTTCTTTTTTTTCCACAGCCATGAGGGGATGAGCACTGGAGCAGGAGATGGAAGTGGAGGCGGAGGTGTCGGAGGTGTCCAGAGCAGTGGTGGTGGTAGAAACACACCACCGCATGGCTCGCCTACCCCCATGGATAAGGCGACCTTAAAGGTCCATCTTCCCAACGGTAAGTTATTTTACCCTGGAACAGTTCTTGGAACAATTCTTTTACACGCCAGAGATTGGCGTTAGACGAGGCTGCTTGATGAGACAGTCTCTTCTTGAACTTCACAAAAGGATAAAGAAACAGTAGTCTTCACAAGTTTGGAAACACCTTTTATTTTACAGTTAAACAATCGCTTGGCGATCTGTTCAGATTTTTTGAATAAATATATCGTGAGATATTCAAATGACATTTTTATCGCCATTTAAATATTTGAAGATATATTTATACAAAAAATCTGACTCATACAAAAATCAAAAAATTTAACTGTAAAATGTAAGGTGTTTCCAAACTTGTGAAGGGTACTGTATATAATTCACTAATGATGAATTTCTCTTTTCTTACACGCGAGAGAAGCAAATTATTGTATATAAGTTTCAATAAAATCAAAATGTGCGTTAAGAAAAAAATTCAGAAGGCTCATCAGCTTCTTTATATTTATGTGTATCTCGTATGTTGTCGAATTTAGGTGGCTTTAATGTCGTCAAATTTGGTGATGCAATCGACGTCAGAGGTATCATATCTCTGGTGACTAGTCGATTGGCCGTTGGTACCAGACACTATCGGAATCTGTACGCGATGAGGCTTCACCATCCCGGATCCGGAGAGAGTTACTGGTTACATCAGGATACAACGATGTATCAGGTACGATATGCGATGCGAGTTGCAAGTCATAACTATATCCCGATATATTCCATTTCTTTTCTCAATTTTCGCGATACGTTTGATTCAAGGTGCAAGAGAAGTACGAACGAAAGCATCCCCACTGCGAATGGAGGTACGAGCTTCGGGTGCGTTATCTTCCTCAGAATCTGAACGATCTCTACGAGAAGGACAAAGTCACGTTTTACTACTATTACGATCAGGTACGATAATAATCGACCGCATTTGTGAAATAAAGTGCGAATTGCATTTATCTCTATCATCGCATTCGACAGGTGCGAAACGATTACTTACTCGCGAATCACTCCGCTCTGGATCAAGACGTCGCGGTTCAGCTCTGCTGTCTGGAGATACGTTATTTCTTCAAGGACATGCCGCAAATTGCTCTGGACAAGAAGAGCAATCTCGAATACTTGGAGCGTGAGGTAGGGTTTTCTTAGCGAACGTAATCTGCCGATTTCTCGATACAGCCACGTGTCCGTTTATCGGCGTCCTTCTTTCTCGTTTGTACGAAATATGCGAATGAAAATTTGCTTTTCTTTTCACAGGTCGGCCTGCACAAATTCCTACCACGTTCCGTGCTGAACGGGATGAAGGCGAAGGCACTCCGAAAATTGATACAGCAGCACTTTAAGAAAGTCGCGGCGTTGTCCGAACTCGAGTGCATGTTCAAATTCTTCGATCTGCTGCGAGCACATTATCGATTCGATCAGGAAAGGTTTATATGCGCCTTAGGGGTAAGCAATAAACACTTATAAATCTACATGGAGGGAATTTTCTCTTAGAATTTACCCTGGAAATCATGGTAATCGAGAGAGAAACAGAATAGTATTAAAAGAATTTTATAAAAATTTTTCTGACTAATATTTACCACAATAAAAAGTATTAATATGTACTTATTGTTAGTAAAATTGATCAAACATATTTTATATCTTATTGTAGTAGATATTAAATAATATATTTTTCATTGTCCCACGATTACCATAATTTTCAGGGTAACTTTTAAAAAAAAATTGTCTCTGTATACCATATATTTCTTTCCTAGTATGCTCTGAACGATAAAAATGTGAAAAATACGCGAAGTTTATGCTCGCTTTTCAAATTTATTGTACTCTCGATGTGTATTACGTAACTTGTATTCTACAATTCGTAGTCAAGCTGGTCGATACCCGTGGAACTAGTCATTGGACCGGACTTAGGTATATCATACATGGCCCATCGAGGTGGAACTGTGGTATGTTTTTGAATCACATGCTTTTTTTATTTAAAAAATTTTATATAATTTCTCCGAAAATAAAAATCTCTATTACAGCCGACTAGGATGGCAGAATTCTCACAAATACAATCCATCCAAACGTTGGTATCGGATTGCAAAGAACATGCGAAGGCTTGCATTAAATTAAGGGTTGCGGGTGCTGCGGAGACTCTCAGCATCACTTGCTCCAGTCTGGATCAAGCCGAAAGTCTCGCAGATTTGATTGATGGATATTGTAGACTGGTCACAGGCAGCAACACTTCATTGTGGAATAGAAAAGGTAAAGATAAAAATATTTATTACTGCGAGAAAAATGTCGAATACTAATTATTCAAGAATTTTCCTACGATGTTATTAAAAAAGATAAAATGCGCGCGCAAGATCATATCTTGAAATCATTTGATAAACTTTGATTCTATTGCGACGTCAATAAGATATATTAAGTTTTTTTATTTTGTACTCGCAAGCTGGATCGTGGAAAAATTATCCCTGTCCGTGCAAAGGTAAACAAATGAGGAGCTAATTGTTTTAAATATACATATATTTAAAAAATGTTTTTTGACAATATTATCTTATTTATATTTACACATACAAATATAATTTTTATTGTAGATGCTCAACCGCCAAAATATAGGCAAGATGGTACCAGTAGTCCAGCCAGCGAGAAGAACGCTGGTAAAACTGGAACCATTTTGTCCGAGGATTATGCGGAGATTGTCGACGAAGAAGGAGATTATTCAACACCAGCTAGTAAATATATTTGTCTATATTCTTAATATATTCTATAAATGTATTCTTCATCGTTTTAATATGACCGTAATTAAAAATAATCGTAATTTTAATATTTTTTAAAATGTCATCAATGTAATCTTTATATTTCGAATTAATGCAGGAAGGATATTTAAATCGATCAATTTTGCTTTTGCAGCTCGAGATTATGAAATAGTCCGAAATCAGGTAGAACTAGGTGAAATTATAGGAGAGGGTCAATTTGGTAACGTCCATAAAGGATCGTACAAAGGAAGGGATGGCCAAACCATCGCCGTTGCTGTCAAGACCTGCAAAGTCGACGCAGATCTTGCTACTGCCGAAAAGTTCCTCGAAGAAGCTTGTATGTGACAAATTCTATATAATATATTAAATATATTTAAAAAATGTATTAATACAATATATTAATATAAAAGGAGACGTATAAACATACAGTATTTTAACCTCAGACGATAATCAAATTATAGATATTATGCAGCAGTTTGAGCATCCGCACATTATCAGACTGATCGGAGTCTGTTCGGAGGCGCCGATTTGGCTCGTGATGGAGTTGGCTAGACTCGGAGAAATGCGTGCTTATTTACAATCTAATAAGCACCGTTTGGACCTTGCAACACTCCTGTTATATACTTTTCAATTGAGCACTGCCCTATCATATCTCGAAAGCAAGAAATTTGTGCACAGGTATCCACAACGAACGAGATCCATTTGTCACTTTATATATTTCAAGTTATATTATTTATTGACCTAACATCTTTGTGATTTCGTTGCAGAGATATCGCTGCGAGAAACGTGCTGGTTTCGGCACATAATTGTGTCAAGCTGGCGGATTTCGGCCTCAGTAGGTGGGTGGAAGATCAAAGTTATTATACTGCAAGCAAATGTAAACTGCCAATTAAGTGGATGGCACCAGAAAGCATAAACTTTCGAAGATTTACGACTTCGTCCGACGTTTGGATGTTCGGTTAGCTTTCACCAAAATTATTCGCATTTTTAAAAAGAGCGTGTAAATGAAACTTGAATCGTTGTTCCAGGTGTATGTATGTGGGAGATTTTAATGTTAGGCGTCAAACCATTCCAAGGCGTGAAGAATAATGAAGTGATACGTAAACTGGAGAACGGAGAACGACTCGCGCTTCCTAATCACTGCCCGCCACGATTGTACTCCCTGATGTCTCAATGTTGGAGTTACGAACCCAGCAAGAGACCGACATTTAAAGAGATTAGAGAAACTTTACAGTGAGTATTTAAAATGTTTGTAAACTTTAATTGCTAAGACGCATCATATTAAGGAGTTACATTACATACTCTATTAAATAATTATAGCGAGATCTTGATAGAAGAGAAACATCAACAACAAGAAACAATGAGACGAGAAAACAGAAGAGTACAAGCCATGTCCTGGGGTACGTCTTTTTTTACGAAACCTATACGCTACAATGACGAACGATTTTCGATTGTATGTTCATGAAATAATCTATTTTACAGGTGCAGACGATGTGCCGCCACCAAAACCCTCTCGACAACCGCAGAATACGACGGAGCAGTCGCAGTTATCCGCAGCGCCGGTATCCACGTACATCGTGGCGCAGAGTCCCGAGGTTCTTGCGCAGCTTCTCAAGGACAACCAAGCCAGAGGGGTATGTCCCTCCGTGTACACGACTCCCGCATCCCCCTTCAACACCCTGGCGGTGCAGTTTCAGGACGAGGAAAAAATTCTAACCACTTCCCTCGTGTCCGATCTGCCCTTCTTCGATCCCGCGCTCTCCGAACCACCGTCCATCGTCACGCACGACACAACCCAATCGGGCGGCGACTCCACCCTGTCCGATACCAACTTAGATTCCCTCGATTCCTCCCTTGACAACGCACCCCTCATGTCGAGCCTGAGCATTTCAGACACGACAACGCAGACGCAATCGCCGGCCGCCAACCGAAAGCAGCAGAAGGTTAAAGAGATGCAAAACTTGTATGCGGTTAGCTCGAAGGTGGTCGGTAACGTCACGGGGGACCTGTACTCCCCCGTGCAGAAATTTGCCGCGTCCAGCGCGACGCCGCCGCCGCCGCCGCCATCCGCGGCCGCGTCAGCCGCGGTCGCGGGCAACACCTGCGGCGAGATATACGGACCGGTCGCTAGTTTCACCCAGAGCTCAGCTATCGTTGGTAATCTCAGTCAGAGCGCTAGCATAGTAGGTGGTAATTACGGTGAGAACCCCGGGAACTTTGGTCCCAGTAGTTTGGGCAGCAGCGTTATAATACCGAATAGTAGTAGTCAGACGCAATTCGTTACGCATGCCCAGCCGATTAATTACAGCAATTTCGCGGCTAGCAATAATATAAACCAAGTATTTGGTGGTGGTGGCGGCGGTCAGTCTACGAATCCAAATGCGAGCGGCGTGCAGAATGCTAGTGCTAGCGGTGGTGGTGGTGGTGGTAGTAGTATTATTTACTCTCGTAATATTAGCTCGACGAATATAGCTGGTAGTTCGACGTCGAACGCGGAATGTTTGTATGGTCCGGTACTCAAGTTTCGCGCGCAGAACGCCCAGCCTCAGACAGCTGCGACCGAGTCGGTGTCCGTTGGTGCAACAGTTGGAAATAATTACGGTCAGGCCGCAAGAAATAATCTGATGGCGCAGAATCTACAGTCGCAGCAGCCAATATATCAGCAAAACTACCCACATCAGCAGATCTATTCAAATATCGCTCAACCGGGACAGCAGGCTATGTATCTGCCGCAAATGCAACACGTGCAAAATATTGCACGGCAAAACGCCGTACCACAGGTTGTATCATACGCAGCGATACAACATACGAATCAACAGCAGTCTCATCAGTTGAGCGGTGCCAATCCCATTTACACAGCCCATGCTACGTCTGTGTCGGTGGTTCAGGCGCAGAAGGTACACGTACCGACTTATATCCATCAAGCGCAACCATCAGCAGGAATCAGCGGCCAGTCAACGACCTGTCAAGCAACTGGCACGAATCAATCAGCAAATATTGGGATAATACAAGTTTCCTCCGTTCCATCGCATTTTATCATGTCATCTTCCGTAACTCAGCAAAATATCCATCCGGTTCCATCTACCTACGTGATAGATCAACCGAGCTCCCTTGGTCCTAGTTCTCTTGGTCCGAGTTCCCTTGGTGCAAGTTCCCTTGGCCCGAGTTCCCTTGGCGCGAGTTCTCTTGGCCCGAGTTCCCTTGGTCTGAGTTCCTTTGGTCCGAGTTCCCTGGGTGCGATAGATCACACTCAAGTTCATGCTACGCTTGCCGGCAACATAACGACGATGAGTGCGCATCAACAAGTAGCTCAGCTATCTCAAACGGTTAGCGGCGTCGCGAAAGCGGTAAATGTACCACAAATTGCGACAGGTGTAGCCAAGATCACCACGTTCGTGACATCGCAAAAGCAAGACGAACAGTTGACGAGCTCGACAGACGGCACTCTCTCCGGTTCTCTGATCTCTTCCGCTGTCAGTGACAGCACCATGTCGTCTAGCAGCTCGATGACAGAGGAGGCACAACAAGATCAGGTTTGACCTCATGCCTCCTCTAGGAATGTGAACAAAAGCATCTTCTATATTTACAACGCCACGTATTGTTTTGGTTTTTATCTGGGCTGTGCAACACTCTTCTCTACACTTCTTCAATTATAATGTATATGTATATGCTTCTTCTAGTAAAACATGTACGCACGGGAAAAACAGGAACTTTTTATTATATTTTGTTGCGATCGAAGAGATTTATTTATAGCGGAAATCTTGATTCGCTGCTCCAGTAGGCTAATCATTTTTGCATGAATTGATGTCACTGATGTCACTGCTACAGTAATCACTTAAACTGCATGTAGCGAACATGAATGCACTACTTCTGTTTTAAATTTATTTTGCATTTCGAGAAATATATGCATCTCTTTAATTTTTACTGTACATATTTGTATATTATCGAAAAAAAACAATTGTAATTTTTTGTAACATTAATGTGTTACAAAATATTCCCTAATTTTATAACAATTTATGATAAATATCAGATAAGAATGGATTAAATGTCTTTAACACGGTATTATTTTTATTGTTTTAGAGGAACGCACACTCGCAATTGTTTGACAATCTGGCCGACAATTTCAATAGTGGCGTTGACGATGAACAAAAGTTACTGGAGCAACGGTTGTTGGAGCAACAACGACAGTCTGAAGAGGATAGTCGCTGGCTCGCAAGAGAAGAGGTATGTCGATTCTCGCTTATATAGATCGTTGTTAATTAAAATTATTTAAATATTAAATATTTATTTATTTTCATTATATGATAGAAACGCTTATCGATTGCAACGAGTGGTGATGAAAGTGCTAGTCCCCCGGTTCCACGATCAGTTACTCAGTCACCAAGTCATGAACCGCATTCCACCAATACTGGCTCTCTTGGCTCGGACAAGGGTTCCGAGAAAGTAATTGTGGTAAAGGTAAAATTCATGTGAAAATTTATCGCTTCATTATATGAATGTAGATTATCTGCATGTTTATTACAACATACTTAAATCATTAATCGATTATTCTTTTTGCAGAAAATGGAACCTACACCTACTGCAGATTTAGACAGAACTAATGATAAAGTGTACGACTGTACAACAAGCGTCGTTCGTGCAGTTATGTCACTGTCACAAGGTGAGAATGTAATAATCGATAACATACGGCAACTAAATAGCGCAAAGTTGTAAAAAGTCATACGCTTATCAATTAATACTGTCATGCAAGAATAATATGTTGTGAATTACAGGTGTTCAACAGAGCAAGGCTGATCAGTATTTAGATCTAGTACGTAGAGTAGGTATCGAATTAAGGGCACTACTATCGTCTGTGGATGTTCTTGTAGAAATATTGCCGATATCCGCGCATCGCGAAGTGGAAATGGCGCATAAAGTATTAAGTAAAGATATGGCTGAACTCGTAGCCGCTATGAAATTGGCACAAAATTATAGTGCCACTACGTTAGATGCTGAATATCGGAAGTAAGCCCATTTTTTTATTATTATCTGCAGATATTGCGTGTGAAATCAATTAATATCTTTCTAATTAATGATCTTTCTCTTTCAGAGGAATGCTTTCCGCAGCTCACATCTTAGCAATGGATGCAAAGAATCTCTTAGATGTTATCGATTCCATACGTATTCGTTATCCATATGTAGACAATCAGATTTGCCAGAAGCAGAACGATGTTGTTAACAGGACGCGAGAATCCACACCTGAAAATCGTATTCGCTCGAGTCAATCCGGCGAACAATTCTTGAGAAGAAGTCAATCAACTGAACGACAGGGAACGACTTTCAGACAGAGCCAAAGTGGTGACCTGTTGCACAGAATGGGCCAGTCTGTGGACCGATCTTCACCAGTGAGTTAAATATTATATCTCAAACATGTGAAACATTTTTGAAATTTTTCCTATGATTTCAATAAAGTACTTATATAAAAATCATGAAGTAAATACGATTTAAAAATATACTTTTATTATTTAGGGAAGTCAATCCGATCTCAACTCTGGCAGCAGTTTAGAGAGAAGACATAATATAGTAACTAACAGCCTTGAACGTAACTCAACAGCGAGGAGACAAATGGCCACTAATAGTTTAGAGAGAAAGAGACCTTCATTGACATGTAACGCTGGGCCTATGAATAATTCTGTTAATTTGCCGCCCATGATGCCAGTCGCTTGCAGTTTAGTACAGACTGTTAGCCCCATCATACATCCAAATCAGTCAGTTACTGCAAGCATTAATCAGCAAACGGTATTTGCAACTAACAGTAAAGCCACAAGTGAGACTCCGATAAATGACAGCTAACAACGAGGTTTCTTGAATTGAGGTAAATGGTGCAAATACGTGGCTTTTTCTTTCGTAAAAATATATATGCAAATTCTAATTTTTTTTTGCATACTGATTACAGGACTACATCGGATGATTGCTTAATATGTATATAAACAGATGACGTTCTCCTATCAAGTTACCTGTGTATACATCTACACGAATACTTCAGCGACGGGAGAAATATAGTATTTGTGCTTTTTTAGCTCTTTTTAACATTTAAAAATATGCAGACATTTTATCTACGCGTACTTATAGATAGGACAGTATTCATTAGTTGTAATAGGATTAGTTAGTAGGATAGTTTATAGTTTAATAAAAGATTTAAGTCACAATTATATAATGAAATCACAACTCCAAAGCTTTAGGATTATCACAATTATTTGTTATGCGATGACTGCATATACGAGGTGATGCAAAGTTATGTTTTGTTGTAAAAAAAACCTAGCAAGCATTTATTAATATTAATATTACTTAATGAGGAAAAGACCTCGATTTATTCACACCATTCACATTTATCTTAAGCATCGCGAGTTATATTCGTAATTGAAAAATTTGTTGATTTTACACGTGTCATCTCGTAATCAACTAATAATGTATACATACATACATATAAACATATTTTAGGAGTGTGTATGTATATATTTATAAATATATATTTAAAAATGAATATCTTCTCTCTTCAATCAATATCGCGCGAGAATATAATTTCTTGTAGGACATAATCTTACAATGTTGTTTTTAATACAAGTTCGTAATTTCATAGTCTATTTCCTGCCTGTAGGAATACTATGGGGAGTAATTATAATGTAAAAAAAAGAGGGACTGAATGTTATTTCTATTAAATAATAATTTCTATTAAATATTTAATGATTCATACCAGTTTGCGACATTTATATATACGACATGTTTTATAAAAGGCAAAAACCATTTTTCAGCGACGAGTCAGTTCCTACGAGATATTTTTAGGAAGTTACATCTTTGCATATATGAATGCCATTAATAACCCATTAATGCAGTTTGCGGCGGCAATGCATATATACGGTGTATTTATAAAATACAAATACTTTATAGATAAAAAAATATTGCATTTTTGCACGTATCTCTATTGTGTTTCTGGGGGAACTCAATTTTATCTGCAAGAAATCTTGATATTCTGAAATAATCATTGTATTATTACATTTCACTCATGTATTGTTACAATTGGCATAGATATGAAATATTCATAAAAAGGTAAATTTGTAAATTTAATATCTTAAATGGTATGTGGCTTTAAAAATTTATGTGCCAAGACGTGCTTATATGCTCGGAAGAGAAAGAATATATTTGTGTGTTATATATTTCCTCATAAAGGAGTTGCTTCCCAGGAACTCATAATGAATATTTATAATTCCTGACGGCATTTTTCAATATTGTGAAAACAACACATTTCTTTAATTTATATTGAAATTTATAATTGATACTCACTATATTTGAAAAGAGGAGAAATAATATGTTAATTAAATCGCCAATTTGATAATCTACATTCTGCAATGTAATGATACACATTTTTTACATAAGTTTTTTATCACTTTTTCTTGCAAATATTAAATTACAAATTATTTATGACAATTTGTCTTTTATTCTCCAGATGCAGTATTATAAGTCTTGAATATCTCTTTAAATGGATATTATATTAAAGTAGTATAAAAATTGCATTCTATAAAAATCAATAAAAATATCTCTTTACATAAATTTTATTTTTTAATTTTATTTTTTAAATCCATATAAATTTTTTGTACTTTTCCAAGATTTTTTTCATTATCATTTATAATTAAATTTATTCTATATATTTTATGTATCAAAAATATATTTATATAAATTTTATTATATTTAACTCGTGATGAGATTACATTCAAATTAGAAGTGTAATTCACAATTATTTAATTCACTGCACTCCTGGGAAGAGAATATTATATTTAATTATATATAATTATATATAATTAAGAATATTATATATAATTACTATATATTATATAATGTTGTATATTAATGAAAATTTCGATTTGGCAAAATGCTTCTAATAAAATGGCGATTTTATAGTCAATGGGATAACATAAGAGTTATTTGATTGCTGAAATTAATCATTGTTCTTTAATATTATATTCTGGTCTTTTGATAGACAAGATACGATATATATTGCCAATAATGTCGTTGTTATATTAATGAAAGGATGATAAAAATAAATCATATGTAATCTCATTTCATCTTAAAAATATTTATAAATTGTGTAAATGTAACTATATGTATTACACATGATCACAAGCAAAATAAACTGCGCGTATGATTTTAACACTACAGAAAACTCAGAAAAATTGCCCTAGCATTAATATAATTAATTAATATCATGTGTTAATTAATGTTACTGCATCAATCAATATTTATTGCATGGCAATTTAATGCATGCCACAAATTATTGCAATATCTTATTTGCCATGTTTTGACCCATAATACTTTAATCCATTTTTTGTAGAACATCTAGCGTATTTTGTTAAAAGAGCATTAACATTCATTGTACCTTTTGTAAAACGGCTAAAAAAAAAATAATTGCATAAGATTCAAACTAATGAACAACATACTTTTTTTTTACTTACATGATATAAGGTGTTATCTCTTCAACAGTCCATTTAGCCTTAATTTGGAAAAGTTCATTAAGTCTATCATGAATGTTGTTGGGTAAATCCGCCTCTGGGCAAGATACAATCTCTCTTTGCATTTTTGAAGCATTGTATGTTACAAGAGCAGATCCACACAAATACTCCTCTTTTGGATTCATCTCTAGAAGAAAAAAATAAAAGATTATAAATTTAGAACAGAGAAATTTCATCATTGCAATTGATTCCAAACTCATTAATTACATACTTTCAGGAGTACCAATGTTCCATGTTTCCATAAATTCTTTGTACTCTGTGACAGGAGAAGCAGCAAGAAGAATTTTTGCTATCATTGCACAGCATTTTCTTTCGTCATACCTGTAAAATTGTATCTTTAGAAAATATAAATTCGTATTTATCAAATTTTTCCATTAATTACTACAAAATATATTAATAATGTACATACTTGTACAATGGACTATTGTCATCTTTTGTCTTTGTGCTTATTTCTGCATATCTGTCGAATATAGCATTAAATACTGGTTCATGAATAAGCTCCTTTAGACATTCAAATGTATTCTCTTTATCTACTTCATCTATTTCCCAAGTCTGTTCTCCAAAATAGTCCAACATAAAATTCAGACTTCTTGCTTCTGTATCGAATGATATGAGACGCAAATGACCTTAATACAGAAACAAAAGTTTTAATGAATTGTTTGTATGAGTAAAAAATAGTCCAATACAAATTAAAACTATTACCATCTATTTCAGCTATTAAAAAATCTGCTAATGCCTGTCTCAATTCATAATCACTAGCTTGTAATTCACTTTGTAATCTCTCCCAACTATATAATGTCTTTGGGTCTATTATAGATTCATATTCCAATCCATTAAAAGATGATGAGTTAAGGAGAATAGACAATTTTGCTAGATTAGGTTTAGTTTCTTTCACCTGAAAGAAAATTAGAATTATGAATCCAGTCATACAATTCAATATTTTATTCAGATATTTAATATACATACCTCATAGTAGGAGGTAAATATCTTCTTTATGTTTCGTCTCTCTACAGTTCTCTCAGTTATTTCAGCTTCATTTGTTGCCTTGCTCAGCTTTAAATTTGGTACCAATAACCATGAATTGGATATCTCTGCCTCTTTAATTTCATAGGTCCGAGTGTTTGTGCACAATATACCATCATCATGTTTGTTGCCACGGAATGATACTCTATTATCACAAAATCAACTGTAATCATCATTTTATTCTGCAGAACAGGAATTGTATAGTTAGTATTCAAACAGGATCACTCAAGGATCTACTTTACGAAATAATAACTGTGAATATATTCATGTTATAACAATGCATTGTAAAAGACACATACGTGTCCCCTTCGTTTAACGCTTCCCAGATATGTTTGTCCACCTCCAATAACATTAAATCATCAGCCTTGTGATCTTGCATAGGATACAGGCATTGCGTCGTAGAATTTAAATCGGACTCTTTAATTGTTGCTAGCTCCAAAATCTGCTGGACATCCTCTTTTGTGCGAACGTCTTTCCTTAATGTAAAAAAAGAAGTAGAGAATAACATTACATGAAGATAATTTAACAATTTTATTAAACTTACTTTTCATCAGATTCCATTGACAGATCCTCAGGCAACCTCCGCTATAAGCTCGTATTTACCTTCGCAATGTGCTTCGAAATATTTTCCCGCCAAATTTCCGGCTCAGCTAAGAGTGACCATAGAGGCAAGAAAATTACTAGAGAGTGAATAAAGTTATAGTTTTGGGCAAGAAGAAACAACAAGGCTGATTGGATGCGCCATCGCACTTCAGCCAATCACGTTCGTCCTAGACGAGCTCGAGTTTGTCCAACGTTTAGTCCGTATGATAACGCGAGTTTCTCCTCGTGGTTAATTTTTTCTATTTTATGCCGCCGATCCATTCGCCATTACGATGATACTCGAATCGATCAGACGAGGTCTATAGATATATAACGATATTCCTCTCGGACAAACGGGTGTAAAAGTCGATATCGCATTGTTGCAAACGAGTCGATCCCCGGGCCATCGTTTCTTTCGACGCGAGGAATTGAACTTCGATATCCGCGAAATAATTCATCGACAGAGGCACGAGGTGAGATTAGATATATCGGAATACGCGTGCTCTCGCGGTAAATTCATCGTGCAACCACTTTTGTGGCGGCTCGGACACGTTTATTGCGACAGGATGCGTTTTCCTCCGGAGTTAAATTATGCAATGAAATACCACCATTTTGATATGAGCATTATTATTTGCAAAAAGGTGGAAGCGCGCGTATATTTATGATTGCAAATACTGATAAATACGAATTTCTGTGGTAGGCAAACAACAACATACATGCACCGACGCCGGTGATCGCGTGCTGATCGTCGAACGGAGCATCATGGATAACAAGCAGCAGTCTACGTTGCCGAATGGCCCGACGAAGGTGGCCAGCGCGGCCGAGGACGCCAAGAACGACTTGCAAATGGTATTGACGAAATTGATGGAGGAGAAGCACACGTATACGTATAAGAAACTGGTGGTACCGCCGTCAATGAGGAGCATCTACTGGAAGTTTTTCGGCTTCCCGGCCACAGACGACGGTGACATCCTCACTAAGGTGAAGATAGTCTGTATATTGTGCAAGACGCAAATCGCCTACAACCGTAACACCAGCAATCTTCGTATGCATCTGCAAAACAAGCATGCCCAGGAACTGTTGGAGCTGGAATCGTCGAATCCTCCGTCCAGGCAAATTGTTACCCAGGAGAACAAGGAACGGAAAGCACAAAAGAGACTGTTGAAGGCAGGCCTGAGCCCGACGAAATACATCTATACCACCAACACAGATGGCACTGTCCAGATTGACGGTGATATACAATTTGTTACAGATCCTAACATAAGTCTATCAAATATGGAGGATGACATTACCATTGGTCAACCACTGAGAGTAATGATCAAGGGTGGAGGTGGGATTAATGGCGGCAGTCAGAATGTGGCGTTCCTCATGTCGGAGGAAAATATGACGAACCAGTCTGATATGAAACTGGATATAAAAACTGTTTCGGATGCTATAGCGGAATTCATTGTAATGGATCTGCAATTGCCAGAGATTGTAGAGGGTCGCGGATTTCAAAGACTGGTAGCTACTTTACGCTCGCCATGCGAGATCCCTAGTAAGAATAAATTAGAGGAGGAGATAATACCAAGAATATACGATACTTTTCGAGAATCCGTGGCTAATTCACTATCCTGCATGGCTTCAGAGCTAGCATTAACAATTGAAGAATGGAAATCAAACAATGAAGAGAATTTTGTTACTGTATCAATTTATTACCAAAATGTTGGAGAGGCTACATTGGAGTGTAAAATTTTAAGTACTCTTCATGCACCATTAGATTGGGAAGAATCTCATTGGGGCAGTACTATTGATTCTCTTTTACTTGAGTGGGATCTTAAAGTGGAGAGAATAACAGCAGTGGTTGTTAGTACTTCTAGAACAGAATTACTAATGGCATTAAGTAATCGTGGCTTGACTTTAGTGCCGTGCTTGCTTCATACTCTACAAGTATGTGCACAAGCTTGTTTCGATAATGCTGAAGTATCTATCATATTATCCAAATGCAGATCAGTCATTGGAGCTATTGTAAGTCATCCAGCTGCAGCTACCGCATTAATTATGCAGGAACAATTGTTGGAGGTACATTAGCTTTTTGGCACAAATTAAATTATTTTATTGTTATTAATTATCTTTGTTATTAAAACTGAAATCTTAAAATATTTCCTACAGTTCATAAATGATTTAATATGAAATATTTTACAAATGTTTTATAACAGTTGTTATTTTTTATTATAGTTGGAAGAAAATGCTATGTTGTTGGATTATCCAGTTGTATGGATATCAACATATAACATGTTAGAGCAAATGGTACTGCGTCGTAATATAGTCACATCTATATTAGAAAATTTGGAAGGAATAGATCAAGAGATGTTTGAAATTACTAATGAACAATGGAAAGTTATGGAGGATCTTGTGGGTGTTCTTGAACCATTCAAAGTTACTATTATGACATTAAGTGAAGAAAAAATGCCTCTAATATCATTGTTAAAGCCATTACTATGGCAACTTGTATCTTCACATCTTAAAGTCAAAGAATCTGATAGTGATACTGCTAAAACACTTAAAGAATCCTTGTCAGATATGTTATGTGAACGATACGCAGAGTGCAATGTTACATTGCTCTTACAAATTGCAACTACTTTAGATCCTAGGTATAGTAGTATGAAAATTATTTTAATATGTTAAATATTCTCAAGGATGCCATTGGTAAGATCCTTTATTTTCCATTACAGATTTAAGTCATTGCCATATGTTACCGAAGAGGATAAAAATATAGTTAGTGCTCCCATAAAGGAAATGTTGACAAAATTGATTCAAGAAGAATCTGAGGATATCACTATAAAGACTGAAGCAGAAGAAACAGTACAAAGTAAAAGACCTAGATCAGGTATACTTGGGCGATAATTATATGTAATGGGTCTTAGAAAGAAAATTATGTGAAATAATTATTAATGATATATGTAATTGCAGGTATGAAACTCTTACTTGGTGGTTTATGCTCAACCAAAACTGGAATGCCAGCGGAGGAAAAAGCGGATCTCGAAGTTGTGCAATATCAATCGGAATCTACAGCACCGCTTGATTATTGTCCCTTGCAATGGTGGTCTAAAGTATCTGCGAAATGTCCGAATTTGGCCAAACTGGCAAACAGATATCATTGCGTACCTGCATGTTGCGCACCACCTACGCGCATTCCGGCAGACGTACAAATACAATACGATACAAAGCGAGCAACAATACCACCTCACCTGATCGATAAACTACTTTTCCTACATGGCAATCATACCATGCAGGTGTAAAAGGTATTCTAAAATTAATGGAAAAAATTGTTTGAAAAATACTTTACTATAGACGATATTTTCGTAATGTACATGTCAAATCTAACGTACATAGTGTAAGTCTAAAATAATATGCTAGAGAAAACTCTTGTACAAGTGTACAATATATATATATTACTTTATATATATACATATATATGTGTGTGTATATATATATACATATAGTGTGTATATATACATATATATATATATATATATATATATATATATATATATATATAAAGTAATTATATAAATAATTAAAATGTATGACAACTTTATTTTCGTTAGTATCAAATACGACAGATTTCTAAATGCACACTGCTGAAATATCCTTAAAAAATATAAAGTCTATCCCAGAATTTTTGTACATTGAAATAATTTGCACAATCTTTGCTTTCTTTAACATTTTATTATCTTTAGTTTTAATTTTCTTCATTATATAACTTATATACAACTTATATAGAATTAAAGAAATCACATTACATTGATGTATTCGGTTGTGCGTTTAGAAATGTACCGTGATAGTAGTCAACCGTTTTTATATAAAATGTTAAAAATATCACATACGATATGAATGAAAACAAAGTTGTCTTTTTCACATTTTGGATATTTCTGTAATATATAACATTTATGTGTGTGTGTATTTTTATGGAGATATTTTCAGATTCTTCTTGAATCAATTTCGTAATATAATACATAACATACATATTTTATATATATATATATATATATATATATATATGTTATGTATTAGCTTACATATCTTAGACACATATATAATATGTAATACACATATGTATATATTATGTATTATATTACATATTTACGTATTATATAGTCATATAAAATAAATTTGGTCAACTTTGTTTTTGTTTGTATCAAATGCATTCCTAAGATTTGATATAAAAACGGTCGATTATTATCGGAATAGATTTCTAAACGCACAATGCCGAATACATCAATGTAATGTGATTTCTTTAATTCTGAATAAGTTATAGTTATATATATATAATGAAAAAAATTACAACCAATAAGGATAGTAAAATATAGAAAAAAGTGAAAAGTTGTGCAAATTATTTAGATGTATAAAAATATATTTTGGGATAGAATACCTTTAAAAGAAAATATAAAGGCTATTATATCCCAGTTTGCATAATAAAATATATTGTACCTGATATTTTAATAAAAATAACTATTCTGTTTTATTAAAACTAATCTGTTCTAATATTTCGGGATTGTTTATCATGAAATTAAAAAGTAAATGCTGAAACAATTGTGCAAAGATTTTGTAACTAATTTAAAAAATTGTCAAAAATCATATATAGTAAGTTAAAGATATATCCAATCATCACATTAATATCGTCAATGAATTGTTTAATAATGATATTTTGTTAATACGAATCTAATAGAATGCTTCATATTGTATAGTTTTATCTCCAAAAGAATTTAAATTTCAAATTCATTATGGAACACATTGAATTTTTGCATGTCTTGCCATCTGCACTAAAATTTCATTATCTTAAATTTATATGTGTATAATTATTATTTTAAATTGTTATATGCTTTTATTTAAAAGCATACAATAATAGAATATGTAATATGATTGAATTATTATCCGTATTATTATGCTTAGAACATTTTAGTGCTGATAAAATTCGAATATTAGATGTAGAAATAATCCAGTTTATACCAATAGCATTTGTGCATTTATCTCTCTGATGACAGTATTTAATATATTAAGATTGTGAAGAAATTTAAAAGTATTATGATTTTTTTATTGCAAGTATTTTAATTTTTAATTTATATATTAACAGTAATTATAATAAAGGGCATTCAGTGTGTTAATTCAAAAAGTGGATTATTGATGCAAATGTAATAATAGTTAATTGGTGATAATTTGATTGATTCAACTTGCACTATGTATTAAATATAATTTGTACATTATTATATAATATGTGAAAACCAACAATTGCTGTAATATTTCTTATAAGTATAATTTCCTGGCTAAAGTATAATACCTGATTCTATGTCATTAGAATTATTTGTTTGTAATATTATATTGCAAAATAATATTATATATATAATATTATATAAATATTATATAATCTAAATTTATACTATGATTTAAATCAAGGAAATAGAAACATATATGTTTTTTAGAGGATATTAACTATAAAGAATTTATATTGATACAAGTCTGACATATTGTATATTGGTACACAACAATTGATACAAAATGGATAAACAAAAATTTCATGTATATAAATCTATATTTTTCTTATTTCTCTAAAAAGGCAGTTAAACAATTATTAACAAAAAATTTTATGTTTTGGGATGCAATATAAAAATCACAAGTATTATAATCTACATGTAAATCAAACTTGGTATTGAGATATAGAATTAAAGAAATTATTATATATATACATCAAAAAGTGGTACTTATAAAAAAATCAGAATATAAAATCTCTTAGAGAATGATGCTATATTTACTTTTCATATATATATCAATATAATTCTTTTTTAATATATAAAATTTGCTTTTTTCATGATTTTAATGATAAGAAAATGTATAAAGACACTTTATAATAGTAATTTTACAGTGTATATATAAATGTAAATATTTGTATGTGTACAATATACAAATGCAGGTATTTTAGATATAGTTTGGCATATATGAATTGCATGCCAACCTTGTTTTATCTATGTAATATCATTGTAAATGAATTTGTATAAATACAAAGGCACTGTATAAGTAGCTTAAAATGTAATGTAAATTTGAAAATATAAACAGATGTATTCTTACATTTGTATTATTACGATTACATACAATTATAATTAAAAAATTTTTATTTACATAGTTATGCTATACTTAATTGTTTTTGTACCCAAACAGAGCCTTTGTAAAATCTTGGATCACCAATTCTCAGGGAGGCTCTTTTATAGAAGTAATAGTACAACACTGCAACTTTATATAAAACTTTTAATCATAATATCTTTATCAAAGAGAGATTCTTGCAAATTTTCTGATATTTCACCTGTTCTGTGTATAGAATAAAGAATATGAAATCCTTTTGTCCAATAATGTTTTAACGGCGCTGACCAATGTATCGTAATATGCCATGTATGCAAACTGATTGATAATATCATATATATTATACACAATACCAATGTCATGCGGAATCTTGTATATAACAGTTGTATCAAACCTGCCTGAAAAGTGATTTCAGATATTTTAAGCTTTACATATCTCTGTTAAATATATTTCTTTTGTAACATAAGATTGGAAACTGGAATATTATAGACATGAGAAAAATTGCTATATAGTACCTGGAAAATATAGGTAGAAAAGAAGTTCACCAAGAGAAGAGTAAGGGCTGCGATAAGGCAAAAATCTTGGATACTGAAAAAAAAAACTAGTGCAATAATTCAACACAATTCTCACAATAATATGATAATAAAAATTCAACAAAAATTATTACGTACATATAAAGTACCAGCAAATCTGTCGGATGCTGTCTTGCAAAACTTGCGAATGAATTTACACAAATGTCAAAAAACAATATAACATATTGCAGGATCACAATCACCGTATATTGCTTTGTGTTTAAGGAATTCATTTATCATTTATGCAGAAAATATCCTAAAATATGAAAATTAGCATGTGCATGCATTTGTAATGTTTTTATTTTGTTTGTATCTTTCAAATGGTTGCTAAGCAACGATCTCCGTCCATATTTGATTGTGTATCAGCACAATCCTTTACGTCACCATAGCGATCAGTAGAGTTGAGTAGAGCCTTAAAAATAATATAGGGACTTTCGAATCTCGTGGGTGGCGAAACTGCTTAATGGCTGTTATATTTAAAATTCTTTCATCCGGCGCGTTTTTGCAGAAAACGCTCGTCATTTATCAGAAACAAAAGCATTACACCTGCATTAATGAAGCTCCATTAATTGTTGAATATGTAAGACACATGTAAGATAAGAAGTATATATGTAGATATTTGTATTATTATTATGAAAAAGTAACACGAGTCACAATTGTCGATATCGCACTTTGTTATCAGGAAATTTGTTCTTTATTTATCGATATTTTATAAACTATGAAATTTAAGCTTAAATTGATAAAGTAAATGTAGATAAGCCCTTGTAGAAAAATGTATCACTAGTAACGTCAATTTATCACTTATTTCGAGTACTTAAAATACTGATAGACAGTAATTTAAGTACTCGAAATAAGTGATAAATTGGTGTTACTATATCATTTCTATAAGAAAAGAACATAATTAATTAAGAAAAAAAAAATTACACACATAATTCAAAGAATTTAAAATTAGTTTAAACTACACGAGAATTTAAATTCGAATTTAACAAAATATATTCAGGACTATACATATATCATAGTCCGTGATTGATAAAAATTTAAGGAGAAATGAATTGTTTAATTTAAAGAGGAACAAGTATAATAATAGATTGTGCATTTGCAATACTTAAATAGAGTATAAATTTACAATATGAAGAAATGCATAAGAATCAGTTATTGCAAAATCTTTTATTCTTTAGTCTTAATTTATATAAACTATATGCTCTGTTTCAAATTGAATCGATAGGATTAAGTCTGTTAAAAAAATATATAGAAAGTGAATGAGTGAGTATACTGCATTCATTTATATATACAACATGCAGCATTGAGTACCAAAGTTATGTAACAAACTAAGCATTGTTATAAGTAGTATCAAGACTAATTTTCTTTTTAACTTTAAGAATACAATAATTTCAATTCACTATTGTTTACGTTTCATTCTTTTTTTTTTTTTTTAATTGCACATAGAACGATAGAACAGATGTTCTCGCAGCAACTTGTCATAGATTATTCTCATTGGAGGCATGACAATAATAGTAATTTATAGGTTTCTTAGTTAACATTTAAAATATATTGGTAACTATTGCAATAATGTATTAATTATTATAATATAAATTATTATAATAGTTTAGTTCATATATATAGATAATTATTTGTTCTAAACTGCTAGAATCATTTAATTATATAATGTATATGTATCCTGTAAATCTCGAGACTTATAAAATATGCGCATTGTCACAATTCATGGCATGATGCATTCCTTTTTTATTTTAATAATGATTGTTAATATTTTTTTACAACTTCCAGTCCCATGGCACGCAAAGAACACCGTCACTCATAACAGAGTAATAATGAGTAACCCAAAGCAAAACGCCTTCAAGAGATGTTAAACTTTTTTTGTGTAAAAGTAGTCGCTCGCAACACTGTATCATCAGGTCTGGTGTGATGCTATCATCTTTGTTCAGCGCAGTTAAACCTAATTCCTTGATGGTTTTACGGTGAAGTTCTCGCTCTACATGCTTTATGCTGCAACAAATATATATAGGTAACAATATTTATTCTATATATATTTATCTAAATTCATTCAAAATGCATTATATTTATTAAATGTTTTATATTTATTGTATGAAGGAAATTTATTAAATATAATATACTTTTTATGAAATGTCTTACTTATTATAATGATGTAATCTTTTTGTAGCTTCCTCTAAATTCTCGGAAATGAAATTCACCAAGAGAAAACTTGGACAAGATGATGGCACGATGAATTGTCCAGTCGGGGATAGCATCAATGGACCTGCTTCACTACAATAAAATCGTTGTACATTTATGGAGAAGTATTTGCTTAAATGGAACAACTATTTATGTACAAAGGTATTTATATAATAATACTAACGCTTCTATAACAATTTCATAAGCCGATAGACTGGCCGGCCAAGAACTCGGGTACTTTCTCTTGCCACGGTAGTCCGAGAGCGTAGTCGTGAGTTGTCGTAGTTGTCGTTCATACTGGCCGACCATTACTTTAGGCATGAATTTCCTGCACATATAGAGGACCCTGAGCCTTACCATAACTTAAATAATATAATATATTACGCACCGTCGACCGATTTTAATATCGAGGAGCACTTGGGACACTGCTTTCTCAAATGCCGGCAATTTCAATAATACAGCGTCATGTTTTCTCACGTTCTTTATTAACTGCGAAAAACAAGAGAATTTATTACACATGGAGGCAAATTTCTTAAATTGAGAGAAAATTAATGTTTTCAACTTACATCAAGCCAATTGTGTCTGACTTCTCCAGAGTTGAGCATAACATTGCCTTCCAAGCTAATACCAGTATCATTTGCAAATACGAGAGTTCGGTTTTTTAACACCTCCATCGATTCTGGATGGTGTTTGGCTAAAGCTTGAAAAGCTAATAAACAACCACGATAATGAGTGATATTCCAACCGCAGTCCCATACAATGTCCTTTAAACCCAAATCGCTACACAATATTTTCTCTAATTTCTCTACTTCCTCCCTCACAGGTCTACATGCCTCCAACTTAATGTGTACCTCATTGATGTGTTTGTCCAAATAAGCCCTGATAAAAAACATGTATATTATCAATTAATATTAATACTACTTGATATTATTTTATTTTATTTGAATATAATATTGCACTTACTTTAATGTATCTGGTTCTACATTAATTTTTCGTTTCATGATTATTGATGCATAAATAGGATCATCTTCCAATTCTGAAAAATCTACCCTTTCTCCATAATAAGGACGTTGCCAAAATTTGGATTTGTACTTTGTGATAGGAGGTTTTTGTTCCTCGATTTTGTCGACAAATGTTGTAGGTAGATCGCATGTTTTTAAAATAGATAGTATCGTTTGTCTAATATCTTTCTCTTTCAATTGTATTTTTACAAGTGTAAATTTACCAGCTTTCACTTCTTTCTCATCTTTAGAACGTAAATAAAAAGGTAAAGTGGTCGGTCGTATAGGTTGCTTCTGTTGTAGAGTTTCTAAGATTGAACTCAATTGCTTCAGAGAGTTCTCGTTCACTGTCTATAAAAAACAAATTGTAATTAATAGAAACATATTTTATAAAAAAATAAGAGAAATATTGTATTTATAATATGAAGGATATTCATTAAATGTTTAGTCAAATTTTATCAGCACATTTGCTGAATCAAAAATTGATTGAAAAATGTTATACATATAAAATGTTAAGTGTCTATAAGTAAATAAGAATAATGATAAGATTAGAATTTTGATGGTCCAATACAGGCATGTAATCTTTCAGAATATGTTTAGGTTCTATAGTTTATCAATACTAGGAATCTTTATTGGATCTTTTATCTCTCTGTAGCTTGATAAACATTTTTATCAGAAGATGATTAACAGAAAGAAAAAATTTCTTTGTGATTATAAAAGACTATATTTCTTTGTGATTATAATGGATTATAACGCCTCGAACAAAGAGGCGAATATACCAATAGAATATACTAATAAAACTAACTAAACATTTAAAGAACATTTTGAAAGTATAAAAGGGAGAGAGCTGAAATTAAAAAGAGAAAAAAGCATTCTTAGTTCATCTTTTAATTTAGTGTTTTAAACATTTTCTCAGAAGAAAATGATATTTATTATGCCAGAATATTTTCTATGCTCACATTTATATTTTCTTCTTTTATATTTAAAATCTACTTTGGATTATTATTTATGATTTAGAACGAAAATCTATTTATACTTTTACTTGCTGCACATTTCTTAATTATTATATTCTTAATGCATTTTGTGTATTTTCAAATGTGTTTTTTGTATTATGTTACGTGATAGATAAAATTATAAATAGAATTTTATTTTAAATTTTATCACGAATTTTAGATTTAATCAAAAGATAATACATAACATCCTCACATATTTTGTTAATTTCTATGATTAACATCTGTTGAATCCGTTTGAATTAAATTATCGCAGTTGTAAACATTACATTTATATGCAAATCATAGTCGTATTTTTTAATATACGTTCCACAAACACAAAGAAATGCATTTATCGCAATTAATTGTTAATTTCTGATAGTATGGAAAAAACAGGGGATATATAATTTAAAATTTTTATTATTATCTTTTAATAATCTATATACTCCGATATTAATATTTTATTAAATTTCTGATATATACTAGAGAACTTGATATTAATTTTATATCTGTGACCTTTAGATAAATTTAACGACAAATATGCATATTAAATAATTCCAAAAATTTATAAAAAAATGCTCGCTATTTCTTTCAATTTTTCTTTTTTTTTTTTTTAGATGAAGTAGATGAAATATCGACATAGATCACGCGGCATCGCATTGTCTCGGCGCAGCCCTGTTCGCACGATCATCTCATTGATAAATAAATAGCGAACAGCTGATTACCAACGTGTGTGTGAGATAGCAGAAAATTTATTCCTATTCGAATAACCTTGCGCTCGTGTACACGCGTGCAAAGATCATCAAGAACATTCCACTACAAACGCAACCATGTTCTCGGGTGTCTAAAAATAATATCGCGCGTATCGTGTCACGCCACGTTAAATACGATGATGACTGTTTTGTTCACACAGAGTGCAGTCGACAATTCGCATACACACCATATATACTTTACGCACTTTAAACGTCGTGATTCACATACGTCGTGAGAGGAAGCGAGACAAAAGTGCGTAAACAACGTGACAGCAATTTAATGTCATTTAAATACTTTCTTTGTACTTTGTATCTTTAGTCTTTGTTCTCTCTCTCTTTCTCTCTCTCCCGATATAAATATAATGTCTTAAATAAGAAAGTATATGTTATGTTTTACTGTTATTGTACATTTAAATTGATACAAATGTATATTTTTAAGGACCTGAAAAAAAACGAAAGGAGAAAAGAAACGACGAAGACAAGAATTTAAAGTTGAATAGACTTCGGCTTTACATCGAAAAGAAGATGCGAAATTCGACTTGTCAACGTCACTTCGGTGGGAGATACATTTAAAATAGCTGTCTGGAAAATTGTTAAACAACGCTCACCCTCTGCGTGGGATATTGTCCGAACAGATCAGGATGAACAGTGAAGTAAAACGGCCTTAACGCGGTGGAGACTTCGCCGGTGCTCAGGGCCCTCACCGCATCCCTCCTGCAAAAGCTGTCAAGAGAGTGCTGTGAGTCCCGATGACTCGAATCATCATGCTTATTATATTATCGCGAAAATTAAAAAAAAAGAAATAGGCTTCGAGGAAGCGAATCGCGGTTCCGTTACCATCTCCCGAGCGTTGTACAGTACATTTTCGCGCCGTTGCGGCTGTTGCTATCGCGATTCTCTCATGTCACGGATCTTCCTCTTCAGGTTTCTCTCTTTTTCGTCTTCTTTGCGTTATCAATTCCCGAGGGACAACAAAATGTCAGGCACAACACGCCTCGCGACGCCTCCCGATGATCATCAGTTGACCGTCAAAATGCGCCGTGAAAAATACATCATGACACACGCGCAGCGACACGTACTTGCGCTCGACTGCGATGATGCGCCTGGATGACCGCTGATAATATACAAAACAATGCCAATCGCGAACGCGACGGTGGTGAACTTGAGAGACCGATGTTCGCCGTATGTTCTATCAAAATCATATGTTGGTAACTTGAATTGGGTACCGACTAGACTATCGACTACATACGACGACGATGATTTCATCAGAGGAGGCGATTTTGTTCTTCCCTCCGACGTTTATCTTGCGTCACAGTTAATTAAAATAAATGATATAATGTAACGTGAAATTATATCCGTAATCTCTAGAAAATAGTACGTAATTGCTTAAGAGACTTCATGCAAAAAGCACGTATGTCTAATAAGAGCGTATTCGATATAACTTTTAAATTACTTATAAAGAATGAAACAAATTTATGTAATATTTTGGAGGTCATATATATATATATATATATATCCTCTTGAAGATTTCAGTTCTGACAATAGAGAGCCTATTGTATGATGCATTAAAAAGGTCTTGATGTAACAAAATATTTTCAAATAGAAATTTGCAATACACTTTTATTAGACATAATAGAATTATAATGGAATTAACGAAATGGAAAATTAGATATAAAATATGTAATTTTTATTTATAAATTTTATATTTTTCTTTGCCGTAATTAGTAAACGAAATTAAGTAACTGCTTTTGCGCTTCGAAGAGAGGAGGAAGATCCTTATCTCTCGAATCCTTAAGAGGTAATCTCGGTCTCGAATTGATTCGGATATCGGTTGCGCGCGCGTCTACCGATCACGCGGACAATCGTATCGGCATATCGCGATCGTATCAGTTAACGGCGAGCAATTTGACGATAAAGGATGATAAAAAACGCTATTTTGTGCAGCGGTCACGGCTGCCACGCAGTCGTTACGTCGGCGTATTATCGCGGATCACGAACACCGCCGCGACAGTAGAGGATCTCACGTGAGATACGAGTTGTATATACACTTGCAAGCTTCCAGCTTGACAGCTGCTGCAACCGTCTGCAACGCCACGGATCATTCGTTTGTATCATCCAAGACTCTGATACGACTTGAACGGATATTCGAGAATGAGTCACGACAATCTCGAGTAATTTAATTATTAGCGAATGACGGTGAATCAAGTCGGTCCAAGTCTCGCTGCTTCCCAAGTAAAGCTTCCAGTGTCATGATGGTGAGTAACCTCTATGTCAGTCTGTTGGAAAATGTCATTAATCGCCACGTGATTGATCGTTTGAACTTGGTGAAATTTTTTACATTTATCGATATCGTCATTGTTCAAGAAACAATCGAGTGATTTGTTATTTTTTCCAGTAATCCAGTATTATTGTTGATAATCATAGAGTCGTAGAGTGACGATGTACGCATATGTTAAGTGAAATTACGTTGCTTTTCCGCTCGCGTAACGCGTACAGTCCTTGTCCACGTGAGAAACTTGAATAATGCATTTCGTCATGTATTTTCTGGTACGATGCATTTTGTATAAATAGCAATATTTTCTTTGAGCGACATGGAGTGTGACACTTCTGTGTGATTTACGATTGCGATTCCAATACGAATACGATATGATCAATACATGTAAGTAATTTACTTTCAGATTAATATGCCAATATTGTCTGTAGTGCATCGTGATGCAGTCGTAATAGTTATTACTCCTTTGCAGAAAAAACTAAAACACTTTGAAGACGTTATTAGGGATCCATGTATAATAAATATGTACTGACGTGTACTGCAGCGTGTGGAATCCTTGTTAGTATTTGTATTTACTCTGTTTATTTGTATTCTATCATCTTTGTAATACGATTTGATGTTACAGCTAAGGTGACACTTGGTTTTGTCATGCGGAATAGATCAGTCAGTATAATTTTTGGGTCCCTTGTCTTATGGGCTGTGGCTACATACTTTTTATTTTTGGATCAACAATCAGTCGGCAAGGATCAAGATAAGGTAAGAAAAAAAAAAATATTACCATATTACCATCTATCGTAAGAAAATTTATAGTATTAATAATAATATATCTTTGTTCTTATATTCTTGTAGGACAAACTATCAAATCAAATTAGCAGATTAGAAAAACAAGTAAAACAACAGATAATTATAAATCAGGAGCTTCTTAAAGGAATTAATGAGAGTAAACGTCGTAAGAGTAAGATTACTTTAAACTATATTTTTAAAAAATGTATACTATATATTTAAACTAAAATTTATACCAAAAAGAAAATAGATAAAAAATGGTATATGATTTGTTTTAGAAGAACAGGAAAAAGCAAATGCTATTCAATTACCAGTAGATGAGATTGAGACAAACAAAAAACATGAAGACGAGAAATTTGATAGCATCTTGTTACAAAAGATCGAGAATAATAACCAGAAAAAGAGTGAACAGAAGCCCACAAGTGATACAATCTTATCTGTAATATATATAAATTAATTTATATAATAATAATTTTTATATAAAATCAGTTTTAATGATTAGTTAAATATAATTACAATTCATAAATGTATGATTTTTTGTTACATCTTGCTAATGTTTAATTTTTAATTTTAGACAGAGGCAATTCACGAGAGCACTACTCTAAAACAAAAACTACCTGATGGATCTCCAATAATAGCTATTTTAGTTGTTTCTTGTAATCGTATTACAGTAGACAGGTGTCTAGATCAGTTAATAAAATTAAGACCTAGTAAAGAACAATTTCCAATAATTGTATCACAAGACTGTGAACATCGACAAACTGCTGATGTCATAGGAAGATACGGAAATCAGTTACTACATATAAAGGTATTATTGTGTAATTTAATTACATTGCCATACTCGTCATATAAAAACTTTCGATTTTCTCTTTCAATGTTTCAATGTAATTATATTTTAATCTCTTTCTGACATAATTCTTAATCTTTATGATCATTTCAGCAACCTGATCAATCAGATATTGAAATACCACCCAAAGAAAAGAAATTTAGAGGATACTTTAAAATTGCACGTCACTATAAATGGGCGTTAAATCAAGTATTTGTAAAGCTTGGATATAGTACTGCAATTATTGTTGAAGGTATGATTAATAATCACATACTTATAAATTTGAATAAGTACTTTGTACAACAAACATCTCTACGAGATAATATTTGAATGAGAATAATTTACTTATGCGTTTTTTTTTTATAGATGACTTGGACGTTGCTCCAGACTTTTATGAATACTTCCTGGGAACTTATCCCTTATTAGTGAATGATAGCTCTCTATGGTGTGTGTCAGCGTGGAATGATAATGGTAAAGCTGGCTTGGTGGACGAGCATGCACCATATTTACTTTACAGGACGGATTTCTTTCCTGGCTTAGGTTGGATGCTCACTCGCGATTTATGGTTAGAGCTTGCATCAAAATGGCCAAAATCGTGAGTATAATTTTGCACACATACACACATATACTTATTATGTAAAGTTATTTATCATTGATATATTCTTGATAATGCTCGCTTTTTTAATAATATATTTTTTGCTTACGTACAGATATTGGGATGATTGGATAAGACAGCCTGAACAGCGAAAGAATAGAGCTTGCATCCGCCCAGAAATATCGCGAACCAGGACATTTGGCAAACTTGGAGTTAGCAAGTACTTGTCTTTTTTCATGCATTATATTTACATTTAAAAAACATTGTCAGCCAAATATATCAATCTTACAATTTTAGACTAATTAATAGTTTGAGCAAATTTTAAGAACAGTAAAAAATTATTTTATTTCCAGTGGCTTATTCTTTGAAAAACATTTAAAATACATCAAGCTGAATGAACAATTTGTGCCTTTCACCAAGATGAATCTATCCTACTTGCTAAAAGTAAGGAAATGAATATTAAATGTACATGTTGAATAAAAAAAAGTGTATGTAAATTATTATATAATTTCCACAGGATAATTATGATATAGCTTTCGTCAACCAAGTATATCAGTCAACAGTGGTTAGCTATTCAGAATTGAAGAGTGGAAACATAGTTGCTCCTGGTCCAGTACGGATACCTTATTACACTCGTCAATCATTTAAAAATACCACTAAATTGCTTGGTTTAATGGACGATTTCAGAGTAATGTATCTTTTTGATTAGAATTCGTATTTTTTTTAAACAACATTCGAAATTCTGTAATGCGAAATTCTATATTACAGAGCGGTGTACCTAGATCCGGATATCGTGGCGTGGTGACATTTTTTTATAATGGGAGACGTGTGCATTTAGCGCCAAGTGCAAACTGGAGTGGTTATGATATTACATGGAGCTAACACATGATTATGCTCTACAGGGACTTGTAGATTGCACAAAAATATTGTGCATTTCTTTGACGAATTAGGTAAATATAATTGGTTGATTAAATGACAATGAATCTATATTTATGTCTTCGACAGTATACAACTGTATGCTCTTCAGAATTAAAACCGGTATTGTATTTAATATGTGATCGGTTTTAAACATGATCGTTCTTGCAAGAAATGTGACATATTTCATTGATATATATATATATATATATATATATACATCTGTATATATATATATATCTATATACGCGCTTTTCAAACAATTGTTTTTTTGAATGACTGATAAAGAGAGTTAGTTGACAATGTAAAGTTCATCATGTTTCATGTACATAAAATGCCGTAGTAATATTAACAAAGCAATACTGTTTTGATTAATTACTAAATATCTTCCAAAACGATGTGTTGATATATTTTTGCTCATTTTATGACAATTAGTTTTGTTATGAACTTATGTGAAATAAGACAAATGAAGTAATTTTATCGAACAAAATTAAACTACCTCTTTTATCTCTCTTTCTTATCCCATTAACCATGAGATATACTCTATCTTTTCCCATATATAATCTGCCCTAATCTAATTTAAATGATTTTTTAAATATACACAATGCTTAAAATTTAGTAACAATATCTTTTAAATATAATATATATTTATATTTTAATATAAATTGGATAATTATATTAGTTCTATGTGAAATTAAATGTGTATCATATAATTGAGGACACAAAAAGAGTATGGTATTAATAATATTCTATATTTATATTTTATACAAGATATAACAACAATAATCAAGCAACTTATCACTTATTTTGTTGTTCACAAATTTATATTCACAAGATAATGTACAATGGCAAATTCTATGCATTTCCATATGAAACAAACGTTTCTACAGCATTCGGAAGCTGCAAATCGCAATACGCTCGATTCTCTATAATTATCCAATTATTTGATGAATCTTGCGAATATAACTTTTGCAGCGCGACCAAAGTACTAATGATATATATCGAGAGACTTAAGATTTATACCAAATGCGATTGTGGTATTTTGCCTTCTCACGTGGTATATCAGCTGATAGTCCAGGAGTTGGATCTGGAAATGTTGTAGGCTCATCTCTTCGTGGTGGCCGCGGTCTTTCTGTATTGTGTACTTTGGCCTCGCAAAAATATCCAAAAGGTGGACGTTCTATATTCATATTTTTACGAACACAATCATCTAAAGCAGCTTGTGTTTTCCGGCACCTAAGTGACATTTATATTAATCGTTACGTATTATTACAAACAAAGACTTAATTAATTTTTTCTTTTCATAAAACAAATATATAGTAGGATATAAAATATTATACTTGGTAAGATCCAGTGATCCTGATGATCTCTCAAGGCAATACATGTATGCATTAAAATCTTCCAGGCAGTGTTTCTTCATTTTTTTAAGAACGCCCATCGCACAAGCAGTCACGTGTTTTCCCTCATTGAGGCAACGACGTGGATCACCTTCTTCTTCTCTACATAACATAAATTCCTGAAAGAGACAAATTTGTTATAATTAAGAGAGACTTGAATAAATATCTGTTTTTTTAAATATTTTTCAAATTACAAAAATTTAATTCTAATATTACTTTATATATTCACAGAATTTATCTTGCGTGAACTAAACATATGAAAGTCATCTGTATACATATAATGAAACTAATTTAGATAAACATTTTTATTTCCAGAAGTGCGTTGAAACCAGCAACCAACAAACGAAAGAAGAGAAGAGAAGTCACACGGAATTATTTACAAAAAGGTACATGTCAAACGTTGCAACAAAGATTTGGAACCATTATGTAAGCCTATGGGAGACGATTAAACAGCCGGATAAATGTATAAATATCGTCGCCAAGATTTGATTATCGAACAACTCACATTGTTGTACCACTCGCAGGCTTTGCCGATATAAACCGACGCGGTGTGCAGCACCGGCCAGCTGACATTCAGCTCCTGAACAGTCAGCTCGCTCTCCTCGGGCAATACGGTCTTCGCGGTCGCAGCCATATTTCCTTACAACAGCGCTCCGGCGAGGCGTTTTGACATTCGCGACGTCAGTCACCGATCGTCTCGAGACGTCTCGAGTAATGAAACTTCTCTGGCTTTTTTTAATATAAAGCTGCGAAATGCATTACGCACGAGTCAAGGACCAAGACAACCTAACCAACGAGTGCAGTCTCGATAACTGTCGCGAGCGTGACGTTCGATTCTTATCGATAACTATCGCGATCGCGAAGTTCGAGTCTTATCGATACTCGACTTACTTCAATTCGAAAAGATGGAGAAACTGCATCGCGCGAGCGAACGTCTTGGCAGCAAAGTGTCGCCGGAAAATCTACAATTACAAGGTATTTATAAATATCGAGACATTATAATTGTACTCAAATTAAGTAGAGGATACGATAATATGACGCTTTTAGGATTTATTCGATTGAAGGCAATCATAATCGATCGAAATTTTGAGACAAATTTGCTTCATGAAGTAAGAAAGAGAGGGAGGGAGAAAGAGAGAAAGAAAGAGAAAGAGAGAAATACATTTTTATTTAAACATTTAATACAACTGACTGTTAAAAGATTGAGATGTACATGTAAATTTATGGATGGGACATTAATAATAACGATATATTTGTTTCTTTTTTTTTATTACAGCATTATTATCAGTCGTACCATCTCCTGTAACCACAACATTTATACATCATTTATAGCTTCAATAGATTCTTAACGCGTTACACTTAACATTACATATAACATTGTACATTCACGCTTACAGTATTACAATATCCTCTTTTCTAAAAAAAAAAGAAAAAAAAAGAAAAAAAAATCTTATTTAATTACAATTGACTGTGTTGTCGCATTTGAATACGTCATTGATGAAGCGTCAATGAAAGCAAAAAGGCTCTTTATTATCTCTATTATATCATTGCAGTATACTGTAGAAAGTCTATTCTCTTATATATGTGCTGCCTTTTTTATCTGAGATGCATTTTAAAGAAGCATAGGTTTTTTCATTTATCATGTTTAAAACATGACGCTTTAACATTTTATAGAGTTCATTCATAAAATCCTTCTATATATATATCTCTCTTTTCATCACTCAATAAAAGTGAGAAATCATACATAAATTACATTTTTTAAACTTTTATTACAATAAATCTTATCGACTATATTCCTTTTGATGCATATGCTTTTTTCTGCAGAGGTTTACTGACTGCTTTGCAAGTCGTTTGAAATTCTATATATAAAATATATATTTTATATATTTGCTACGTTAATATATACATGTATAATTCTATATAAAATAAATATTTTATATATTTTATATAGAATTATATAGAATTATATATGTATATATTAATGCAGCACTATATTTAATAGTGTCGTTTGATGTACTTTTTTGTTTCAATTTTTATATGCTTTTATTACATGCTTTATACATAGTATTACCCTGTATGGTACTCGATATACATTCTGATAGATTTCGTCAAACAAACAAGGAATAGTGTAGCCTGATGTAAACTCTGTGTAACATAAAAGCAATATCGATTATATCGCGGAAAATTCGTTCGAGAGATATTTATCTATCTAATACTTGATCTCTCTCGACGCTTAATCGATGTCGGCAACATGTAAGTCATATAGCAATGCACTATTCACACACATGTACATACATGCACGATGCATAATGTAATGAACACATTGAAGAATCTTTATTTAGATGCATTCCGATAGTAATCTTTTGTGTATTTTTTCATAATTTCTCGTGATGTGTGAAAAAATAACACAATTACAGTAAACAATTTAAGATCGATTGATTCACATATGTGACAAAATTATCTTCTAATATAAACTGAGATAAAATCGATAGTGTTTTTAAATTTTTTTTCTGCAAACAGCGAACGATTATATAATATATAGATTTTATTCGAACAACAATACACAATAGATAACATTAATCTTTTCTATATTTAGATTGATATTTTATTTTCGCGAATGGTAATGAAATGTTGCTTTACACAGAGTAGGCAGTGATACAATATTATATTTTTAAAGCAAATATGAAAAAAAAATAAATCGTGAATGGTTCTGAACAATTTGAAATTCGTACTGAAAATTTCAATTAGCCGAAAAAATCTAGAGTGTTATTTTAGATACAAATAGCAAAAAAATGCATCCGTGAAATAAAGAGAGGTGTCGCTTATACACAGAGAGAATTTTCTCTTAAAATTTACCCTGAAAATCATGGTGATTGTGGGACAATATTGAAAGAATTTTATAAGAGTTTCTCTGATTAATATTTACCACAATAAAACATATCTATCACAATAAGATATAAAGTATGTCCGATTAATTTTACTATGCACATAGTAAAATTTACTATGTACTAATATTTTTTATTGTCCCATGATTATCATGATTTTCAGGATAAATTCTAAGAGAAAATTCTCTACGTGTAGGATGATACGATTAATATCGATTTTACACGCGAGATGTTGAGACTTTCTCTCTCTCTCTATCGTTGTCGCAGCGATACCAGAAATTACATACATGCGCAGATATGTATACTCGTCGTTTATGATGTCGATGCTACCTTTCGGCTTCCGTCGTCCGAAATGACATTTTAGAACTCGGAATGAGGTCGCTTGGTCAGCCAGTCGGCGATTGGCGAAATTTCGTGCACTCGTTTCTTCAAGCCGCGTAACGCTGGATAATTCTCTAAAGCGGTTGCACCGAAAATGTTCTCAAAGTTTTCCAACGCCACCGTGAACACAAAGTCCGCCCACGTAGTCTGAAAAGCACCACGCGTTCGTGTTTTGCACACAGATTTTACAGAAAGTTTTTAATATAACGCAATATATGTACATTCAGATGTTCGAGCTTTCATTCCGTCTTATTGGACTTTAGTGACAGGAACATTGAATTGCAATGACAAGTAGAAAATGTTTTACTTTAATCCAACTTTTTTGCATGTTACTTATTTCTACACACATATAATTTATTTTATATATTTAATCAAATAGAGATTCTTATTGCGCGTGAAACAACAAGATACGTTACTTATTGAGAAGAGATCTGAGATTCTCTTTACCGTAGAGCCGACCGCGTAACCACCATTTTCGGCGACCGTTTGTTCGAATTTATTCAAGTAGAACGGTATTGTTTCCTTCAGGAGTTTCGCCTTCTTCTCCTCCTTTTTAAAGAGATCCTCCTCCGTACGATATTGAAAATGACTGAAAAATAAATCATGCGCAAGCTCTAACGACTCTCTTCCTTCCTCTCTATCTGTCATATGACAAATGTCATAAACGTGATTAAAATGTACCGTACATCTCCGGGAATTTCGCGTAATGCGTAAATGCCGCTCATTGATTTAAATGGTAAATCAAACGAAGAGGATTGCGAATCCGATCGCTACAATGTCTCATTAAGCGATCCGCGCATCCGTATACTATTACGTCGCGATGAGTATTATATTGAGAGATCCGATGCGATATATATTCGCCTCGGATTTCACCAGGAGAGCTTTTCCAGGACGATAGCGCTCGCTCGATTATACAGTGACCTCGGTTTGGAAATAGGTCACGCGAATAGAGACGCATGTCTTTCAGAGGAGAGCGAAAAGTGGAACAACTTTCGCGCCCGTCAGAATTTTCCGAGATTTACAGCACGACCGTGGCCGAAAACGCACATTTTTTCCCTTCCTTTCTCCCTATCTCGAGCTCTCCTCCTTCTCGGAAGATTCCACTTTCGACGTCGGGAAATTGGAACAAGACGGAAAGCTCGAGCGTCATCGATAACGCTTATTGATCGATGCTCATCGCGCGACGAGACTAAAATTGCATATAGCGAGAGATGTGAAACTTTCGTCGTCGACGAAATCTAACGATCCTGCGAGAGAGAAATGAGAGAATCCGGCTGCCCGAGTCGAAAAGAAAGTATCGATTTGGCCACCGGGTGAACCCGTTGAGAGCTTTCAGCTTTTCGTACCGGAATCGTCGCGGATTATATACTATGTATCGCTTACATTGTTTCAGATCTCCCAGAGTATCCACCAGGACATCGCAGAGCATCGATTCCCACTCATCTCTGCCTGCGAGATTGTGCTCACGGGCCAGGTAACGTGCCACGGCGTTGCTCTGTGCTATCGGCTTGCCGTCTATTTCCAGAACTGGCAGCATCCCGTAAGGCATCGCTGAGAACAGGAGAAGGCAATCGACTGACGATCGTGCTTAAGTTCACGTCTGCCAATGAAGGGGAGAGAAACGGAACAAATTTGTCTTCGCTCACAAGGTATCGATTAAGACTATTACGCACGTTTGATTGATTGTAGATGTAAATTACAATCAGTCGTGGACGGAGAGAATTTTCTCTTAGAATGTATCATCAAAATCATGATAATCGTGGGATAGTATGGTATTGGAAGAATTTTCGAAGAATTTCTCTGATTAATATTTACCACAATAAAAAATATTAGTATGTACATGATCAAATTAATCGAACATATTTTATATCCTATTGAGGTAGATATTATCATTTTTATTGTGATAAATATTAATCAGAGAAACTATTATGAAATTTTTCCAATACCATTTTGCCTCATAATTTTCAGGGCAAATTCTAAGAGAGAATTCTCTCTGTGTACGAGAATTAATTTTCCATGTATATTTAAACAGAAGGATATAAACTATATATTTTTTTATTGTTGAAATTACTTTATAGAAAAAAATTAGTTACTATATAGCTAAATTTTTTCCGTGTTGAAATTTACATATATTTAATTTGAATTTAATTAATCGATATAAATCATAAAAAGAGGCTTCGAATTGCATTCTTATATTTTGATTCGCATTGCAACACATTTACATATTGCGTGCCAATAAATTGAACTATTGATTTAAAAGCGACATTAAGTTTTTTATATCTAAATTTTTTAAACTTACACTTTTTAAGCTCGGGCCAACATTCGTTGGTGATTCTTTCGTCGATGTAGTCTATGCCCGCGTAGGCAAATATGTAGCGAATATGCTCAGCACGACCCCGTGCATTAAAGTAGATCAATTTGTACCTCGGCTGCTCCTCAGCCATCTTCCTTGATCGCAATCTGAAAACTTCCAAGGTGTCGAGAAAAGTTACGGGGTGCAATTTCGAGGCTAACCGTCTATTATTTGCCTACTATGAAACCGCAAGAAATCTTGTTTTATATTGTCAAACAAGGATAATGAAACCTGCAAAATGAGATAACATCCTATTTGACATGGCAAAATCGAGTATAATATAGTATTTGCACGAGGAGAAGATGCGATTATTCTCCTCGATTATCCTCCTCTATTAATAATTATCAGACTGTACGATTAATTAATTCTACAAATACAAATATATAATATATAATATTATATAATATATTTTATAATTTATTTTTTATAATTAAGAGGTTTTTTTTTTTAACGAGATGAGATTAGTCGACGCTCATTTCTTGAAGCATATTAATTTGTTTTCCAATGAAACAACCCTCCCATTTTAGGTACATCTAGACGTCGGTGGGAGGGCTTAGTATCCGAAAGAAGTTTATCCTGAAGAGGAAGCCAAGTACGGTTTTTCAAGAATTATAAAGCCGTTCATCATCGATACTCTCTCGCACTTCCAATGTCGATCCGCGGGATATTAATTCGCAAAAGGATAAGATTCTATTCGCAGAAAATCGTGCATTAAATAATAAATCAGACATCCAATTTCCGAAGACGAACGCTTCGTCACGTTTTAATTAATTTAAACTTCGGGAGTGCCGTGTAAAGTATCGCGCGGCTATTTTTATCGCGGACGGTTTGTCTCGTCTTAATTAGTTCGGGAGTGCCGTGAAAAGTATCGCGAGTCGCTTAATTAGTTCGGGAGTGCCGTGAAAAGTGTCGTTTGTTTTCAACATGCCGCGGACGATTCGCGCACGAAATCGTCAATAATATTAACGTATTTTCGCGAGTGAATATATAGTGCAACGAATAAGTGCCAACAAGATCTACTTGAGAGGAAGGGAGGCCTAGATGGAGGGCATCGGCGGAGCAACTTTGGGGTGAATATCATTTATTATTCATATATTATTGTTTATCAATCTCATACGTGCATCTATTCTCGTGTATTTTATCTGGCTTGTTTGTTCTTGGTTGCCTTAAACATGAATTTTAAAAAGAGACTTTTGTAAATAATCTTTTGTAAAAACGTGTACTTAACAAAAATGTTTTTTTTTTTTTAGAATATAGTAATATTCCATTAAATATATCTGCTTATTATTGTACGCGTCGAATGTAAAGTTTGATGCGGATAGTAATAATTTGTTGAAATATTAATTATTTTTGGCGCTATTTATAATGTGAATCTTATATTTGTATGTTATAGATCAACGTAGAGTCTACGTAGTTTAACTCCGCTGCTACGCATCGACCGGTGAGTGCAACTTTTATTTATGGTAAAAAAATAACGCCAAATAAGAGTACGTTTTTATATAATTTCTTGTTTTTTCAACTTCTGTATTGCAAAAAAGTTTGGATGCTCCTTTATATATTTGGCGCGTATTTTTTTACCCCTTTTTAAAATTATACTGCTTTGTATCAATAATAACTTTCTGAAATGTTTACATGACATTTTATTGTCATGCGACTTTTTAATAACGTGTAAAATTTTCATTCGAGCGCAATTGGAATCTGTGATTTTCCTAACTTTTTCTTAACTTCAAAAATAAAGATAATTTTTCTAAAAAGTTACAGTCTCGCATATTGCGATGTTTTATATAATAGTATTTCATTACTATCGTCGTATTGTTGATTTTCATTCGAAAACTTGATCTTATCAAAACGAAAACTATTGTATATCTTTGTGGGCGATCTATACGATAATTCACGATCATCTATAGATCTTTCCCGGCCGTTCCGTGAGATGCTATGATCTATTTGGAGTATCTTCACCGCAGGTGGTCGACTTATTTCGCAAGAATAACGCGAGGGTTGCGTGATTACATACGCGTGAACGGAGTTAGTTTTATCAAGTTTTGAGAATCGGGGTTCATCCGAAATGTTTAGATAAGCCGAAATATAACTGACAAACGCGAGTTACTATTCTGAGTTTTCTTGAAAATCACAGAATTCCATGCGCCCACATGTACGTACACGTGTTTACACGCATACATGCGTACACTATCTAAGCGTTATTGACCCGCATTGCATACGTGGACATATTCCGCGTACCAGTCATGTTTCATACATTGTCACCTCTCTAAGCGGTTCAGCGAATTTTAATTAGGTATATCTATTAACAGGATTTTGTTGTTCTCATTAGCAAATACGGCAAATGAAAATTAAGACGGGATTAAATATAATTCGATATTTGCCAAGCATAATTCAGTTTCAAAGTAAGACTGCATAATTCATGGTACATGTAAGTCAAGCGACGTCCTGGCTTAAGATGAGGTGCTAAGCAAATCGCGATGTTAACGAACTCGAAATGAGAAAACTTTACAAGTTTGCCGGTCAGGCAAATAAGCGACGGCGATATATGCGTGGCGCATATATTTCCGCGGGGAAATCTAAGTGATCATTATTTGATAATTCCACTTTAATTACGTCCGTTTGGCGGATGCATCGATGGCAGAGAATGATCGTCCGTAGGCGAACGGAAAAAAATTGATAACATTTATTTCTCAGATTAAATTTTTGTTGAAAAGTCGCAGAGATTGCGTCTTTAGGCAAAGTTTAATGAATCATACATTATTATATAATAACGAAATAATTTGACAAAGAAGATATTGAATCTTTACTTTAGAGAGTATGGATTCAGAAAAATTGTCCGATCTGATTACTTTCGATTATATAATAGAAAGGCTGCTCGAGGGGAAAGATTTCATTTCTTCTGCGCGTAAATCATTTATATGATACGATCTCTAGAGAGATTCTGCAGGAAATATTATTTTATATATTTATAACATTGAAAATTAAAGATTTTCTATCGCGACATTCAATGTATTGATTGCAATCTTTGATATAGAGATTTTCCATTTTCCCGACATTCATCATTTATTATATTTTCATTTCCGTTGATCAAATTTAATCTTCTAACAACAAGAGAATTTCCGCAAAGAGCGGATCTCCATCTAATTAACAGTTGGGGCTGTTTCGGTCCTAGGGATACATACGTATATATAGACATTTATTGATTATTGCTTGGAAAATGCTCGGTGCCCGATGGTTTCTCCGATAGAGAAGCATGTGACGGACAATGTTCCGGCACGAGATATGTAACGTGCCAGTTGCAACGACTACAATTCACGGCATTAATTCATCAGATGCAAGTGCATTAAACGTGTACAACTCAAGTATGTGAATATAAACTATACATACTGCGGGATTAATCTTTTATTCAATTCCGCATGCATATCTGATTCTTCATCTTCGATCTATGTATACATTTATTCTTATTTTTTGCTTTTTTTATAAAACCACACAATTATTTTGCAAATTAATTTTTTATACCAAAAGAAATATATAAAAATGTATCTAGAGAATCTGAGAAAAATATTTCTTATGATTATTTCATGATTTTTAATGCGCATAAACATTTCTTACATCTGTCACCGTGACAGATGGTAAATGTCATCGAAATCGCGTTGATTCAACCTGTTGAGGTAAATTTGATTGAAACGAAATGCGGCGTTTCTACTATATCTTTGTACTATTGTGTGCGATTACGTTATCCAAATTTGACCGAAATTGTCGACGGTTTAACGCGATTACATGCATGTACAGACACCGAGTCGAATGTCAGCGAAGGTTGTGCCAATAACTGAACTCTGATAAGCAAATTTGACGGTAAAATCAATGGCTCGTATATCTGCGAAAGCATTAATTCGGTGCGTATGTATATATACGGAAGAAGCTCTGGGAGATATGAGATATAAGTTTGTAGGGAGATGAAGGAGTATTAATGTTGACACTGCGAATCCTTAGCACAAAACCTCTCACAAACCCTTCTCTCCCTATTCTACGAGGGAGGATTCGTAATGCTGAAAGTTTGCCTCCGCCACTTCTGACGGCGGATTCATTAGTCATTTCGTACCATCTTCGACACAAACATTCGAGTTTCGAATGAAAGCGAGATTATGAAAAACCTTCCGCAAAGCATACCCCTTGTTATCTCGAGAATATCGATTTACCAAGATATTTTTATTTTTTTCAATCGCATTTGAGATAAGCTTTATTCAAGGACCTTTTTAACTGGACAATTATATATTCTACGAATATAAAAAGGATTAACTGAAAGCACGATGCGATAAATAATCCGCAACATTTTTTTTGGATTGAGAAATTAGTTTTTTATTTTATATTTGTAGATAATTATTTTCTAAAACCCTTCTTCCAATAATTACATATTCGTTGAAAAATTTTTATGTAATATATTATATTTCATATATAAAGACATAAGATTATTTATTTTCGCGAATCAAAATTTTTATGGTACGTTTTAGCATATTATTTTATATATATTTTCTTTGATAAAAACAAGTAAATTTCAAATATTCTTTCTAATTATCTTTGAACACATTAATTACATAATTATTGATCGTGCCTCGGATCTTTTCATTTATATTTCGCAATTGAACAAAGTATAACTCATTATTTTTCTGAAGAACTTTTCAAATAGCTAAAGTGGCGTCTTCTTTCGTTTTTTTAGCTCCCGAGCAAAAGCGTTATTATAAGTTTTTTCGACATTACACCAATTTTTCTCGAGAAAAACTAAATCTTAATTTTGTGCTATTAATCAAGCTGGATCCTAGAACCTTTCAGATTCGTCGCATACCCCATATTTTCCTCTTTGTATATCGTGATATTAGCATCGTTGAGATGATGAGGATATTATTAGTACTCATAACTTGCAATTTTCTAGAAGATACATCGTATCGTGGGTAAATTGTGCTACGTAATATTTCCTGTCCTCTCCCAGATCCTCCCGCATAAAACACGACTGATATTCGCTCAATAAACATGTTCGTTCTTTTTTTTGCGATCGCGATCTGTATGATATTGTTAGAAAATGCAAAAGAATGTTCGTGAATTGTAATCAGGAATAGAGAGTACAACTGATGCAAAAACAGATACCTATTGATACTTGGTACATTTTGGCGAAGCATAAGATTCTTTCGATACGGAGATCACTAGTCCATTTGGCGCGACGCCACATTCAATATCAGGAATTTTATAAAGATCTCGGGCAAAAGAATATGGTAAAGACGGGCAAAGACATTATATATGTGATCTCCTTTCTTCCATCTTTCCCCCCTTTTTTCATGGTTATCATCTTGCATAGCTTTTTCCGGAAATGATTTCTAGTATCGAAATAAGGGCATCTTTGTCAATATACCTTCTTTTCTTTCTCTTTTTTAGGAAACTATTATTCTTAAAATTTAAACTTGAAATTCGAAAACTTGAAATAAGAATAATGAGTAAACATCCAATTAATAAAAACATTTTACATACCTACGCAAGAATTGAAGAGTAAAAGTAAATCTTAATTTTCGTTTAAAGGTTAAAAATGGATTAAATAAAATAAAAAATGATATATAATAATGATGTACAATCAGAAGAATTAATTTCGGTGAGCTAACATTCACAAAAAGATTGTAGAACATGCGAATCATCGATTCTTTTCATTCTTTTATAAAATAAGAAAAAAGAGAAAGTAGAATATATTTTTTTATTTTTTTACACACACAAAATAAGTTGAATTTTATTATTTTTTACATGATTTCTTAATATTGCAGAAAAAAGAGATATTTGACCTAACCATTAAATATATATATAAGACCTATATATTAAAGCTTTTGATTTATATGTATATGTGAAAAAAGATAGCATATAAAAGGAATGTATTATAACTCTATTTCTGTCGCTCGATTTAGGCCGACCTGAAAATTTGATGTTTTATACGAAGAGATGTGGGAAAGCGATGTATGATAAATTTATGTGAACTTATTGAACCATAAAATTACCTAAATGAATTGAATTTAGGCAATATATACCAAAATATCATGAATTTGATGTTTAGATTAAAATAATATATTATATGTGACATTAACGATGATACAACCGTGATAATTTCTTTTATATGACACTTTGTTTTCGATAAAATCAATCTTGAACTTTTGTATTTTTGATTGCTACACCTACCTATTGCATTATTTTCATGAGAATCTATTGGAAATAAGCAAGAGATATAGATTTAATTGAAAAAAAACATGTTTTGACAATATTTGTAAATCTAGAAATTAAACAGAGATAATCAGTGCGTAAAATATTGAAGTGATTCTTATTGTTAGACAAATACGTACTCGCGTATTCAACAAATGGTTAAAATCGATTTTCTCGAGAACGAAGCTTTGTATAAAAAAGTTCCTACAC